TGATTCACTAATAATCACTAATAACCACTAAGTGGTTACTTGGAATAATCTTAATTTACTGATTGTGAGTTTTATAAATGGACGTTTTGGTCAATTTATTAATTTTTAATCATTCTCAGCAACATACTAAAATGCAATGTTACATAAATAAAAGATTTGAATAATCTATGTTAGAAAGAAAAATAAAGAAATAAGTAAACAATAAATAAATAAGTACACATTTATAATTTGACTAGTCATCACGGCGATTGTTAATGTATGTCGGCAAGTACAGAGAGTCGATGACCGACAACATAGACATAAAGTGTGTTAAATTGATCGAAACGTTCATTTATAAAACTCATTGAGTTAAGATTATATTCTAAGTAACCACCATTACCAGATCATCGGCTTTGTTGGTTTTTTTTCCATCCATTTTTGGGTTATATCTATCCTAACATTTAGTTAAATATTGTGGGAATTGACACATAAACGTTTTGCAGAAAATAGTTACTTTATTAAATCTAAGAATATATTGGTAATTGCTTGATATATTTGACGGTTGGCAAAGAATTGCCTGCTTGTCGATTCGCATCTGCTCGCAAAAAATGCAAATCTGACGCGCTTTTAATAAATTATATGTTAAGACTTACGGTCAACTGCTAACAAATTTAAGTTCCTTGTCGGCAAGAATAAAGAACATGACAAACAAGCGTCTTTCTCGTATACATTATTGCGCATACGCTGCCAATGTCACGAAAATTCGATAACTAGTAAGATGCTCTTTTTATATGCATGTTTTCTGTGATGTAAATTAATTTAAGTGTAATTAATAATGTCTTTATATAACTAAAAACAAGACACATTCCTTTATTTGCTATGCGACTTAAAATATAGGACAAGTAGGCTGTAAAAATATGTTAAAATACGTCAGTATTGCCACACAAAAAATTGATGTTACTATCATGACACGTATATTTGTAGTGAGTAACTTTAATATTCGGACAATAGATAGGATTAATTTGAACCAAAAAGTATCATTTTGCAAACTTCGCAATAGTTATTAAATGATTAATTAATATATGTGATTTAATAAGCGCGTGAGAAGCGATAGTCCGGATAGTCTCTGTAGGCGTGTATGATTTTCAGTTGTGAAAATCAGCTGATCGCAAGAAACTGTGTTACATGCCACTTGCTTGTTTGCTTTTTCTCTTGCTGCTAGGAGATTGCATAAAGTAAGTCACTTCTTACTAAAAATTATACGCTACAGAGTTCAAACCATCACTTTTTGGTTCAGATTAATGTAATATATCTTTGCACTTCGGTTTAGTCAAACTTTTTCATCCTGTATATGTATACATATGATGAATGTTCGGAGAAAGAGGGAGACCAAGGTATCATCTTCATCTGAACGCTGTTATTGTGTGGTATATTTCGTAACATTATAATAAAGAAAAAAAGTAACGTCGGGTTCTGTTATCGCGACACGAGAATCGAGAATTAATACTTTATTTGTGTGTCACTCCAGCTGCGAGGATCAACACAAGTGCGCACCCCTTGCGACAAGAGAGTACTTCTTAATGCGTGGTCCCCCGGGAGAGGAGTGGGATTGTATGGTTTGCTAATTTTCACGGTACGGGTCGTTGTACCGTGACGTTAGAGAAGATTAAATTCAATGAGAAGCTTTGAATTTTCGCGCCTCTCAATAACCACTTCTTTCCGGACGATTGTGACCGTAATCGATATTGTATAACCTTTACTTATATATAGTCTAGGTCTCAGGACATTTTGTAAAAATTGTGTTACATTCTGATAAGTTGTAAGTATTAACAAATATATCAAGTGTACAAAATTATTTGTGTAAAACAACGGAATTACTAAACGTTCGTATGCTATAGATTTTTTTTAGAAATGTATATCTGCACGCACACCTATGTATTGTCATACGTGACGTATGTATAGGTATATATACTGAGAAGAAAAAATACTGTAAAAACAATCAAAACAAAATGCTGTTCGCAATTAAGTGTTACTTAAAGTACTTGTGTTTTTCTTAATTCAAGAGTAATCTCTTTAGATTAACAAATTGAAAGTTAGGTTAAGGAGTTTATTTATTAATTTCAATGTAGTATAAAATTTATACTATAAATTAGAGTTTCAAATTTTTTCAATTTTCAGCCGATTTCTGAGAAGTAACTTTAAAAAAGCAATATAATCTCAAGTATACGAAAAACGCTTTCGCGTCGGGACACGTATCTGTTTAGTAAATAGACTCTCTAAAAATTAACAACCTGTGTATATCAGTTCTTCGTCTCAGTGTAAGCTTTAATTTTTTTAATTTTTAGAATAAAATACATGATGTATTATGTATATTATGTACGATACACCATAATGTGTACTTCTTAAATATGTATGTATATATATTAAAGTGTATATTTAATATATTTAACATTATATCAGTATTTTTCTGTATACTCTTGTTATTTACTCCTTTATATTGGAACAATTCTTATCCTCGATCGAATGGGGAAGTGATAAAAGTAAGCGTATCAACACACCTGCGTCAACTTAGATAAGCTCTCAATCACTTGAACACTGTAAGTTATACATTATACAAGAATAGTGTCTGATAAAATAAAGCGATAATAATATATCGACTTTTAATATTATCAGTATTTGTGACTATACATATAAATTACATATTTATGTTTTTGTTTATGAAGAAAAATTTATTATTCGTATTTCAATCGTTTATCCTTTCCGTTATCAAAAGATCTTTATATCGGAATATTTTATATTTTCTTTTAAATTAAATTATGAATAGAAGATTACGTGCATACATATGTAGTTTCGTAACGGCCGCTTTCATCGGGAACTTTAACGTTTACCATACGGTGTGTCTTATCAAATGAAAGAAGTCGGAGTTTGATCGGGGTTACGCGCACCTCGTCACCCCCGGTGCCACAGGAATCGTCCCTAATTGTCCACAAATCGACAGGCACCCTCGATTTCTCGAACCGTTAAATACAGTTGCCCCCGAAGGCGCGGAGGGGGCTTGTTCCGCTCTGGCCCCCCTGTTTCAACGTCGAGAGGGTTCGAGTTCACCGGGCATCCCCCAGTGGAATATAGATTCAATTACACCTCATTGTGTGTCGTGGTATCTATAAACAACGCTGTTTTCACAGCTGATAGTGGTCCACCCCGCTGCGGGTTGTGCACTTCAAGTAAATGCAGTATAGTAATTCACGGCACTCTATTTTTTCCAGATCGGACTGATTGACAATTCTGAATTTCGGGATAAAGTCTGATTTTTCCGAATTTTTGCGTTCCTATTTTTCTAAGATAGTGCATAAACGAATGTTATGAAATATATTTCAATCATGTTGTACACAGTAAAAAATTTTACATCTATATGTTAAAATTTACCCTGTTGATTAGTGCTTCAATACAAAATCAATATATAACTGATATGTTAGTTTTGTAACGTTTTCATGTGTTAACTTTGTCAACTTCGTAACTTAACATTTTGCATATGGCACTTTAAAATAGAATATTATTTTGATATAACACAATTATTTCAAGTAACCTACATGTCTCAAGGTCAATTCAATATACTGAGAAAAGTAATCTTGAAGTAATCATAAACTTTGACACACAAAATAATCAAATACTAGAAACAATCAAAGTTAAGGTAATTATTATCGTATATTAGTTTAACACAAAAGTATGTTCTTTTTGAAGTACATTTTTTACGAGTTGTAACTAATCTTTCATGTAGTTTGTAATTATTTTAGATGTTATTTTTACATCACATTTAAAGTTAAAATAATATAAATGTAAAAGTATCATGTCAATTACTTAATACTTTTAGTTTGTCAATAAGTAATGACAAATGAATTAATTTAATTTTTTTGTTAATTTGTTACAATTAATTTAACATTTGAAGTGAACTTCCTGGGACATGTTTAAAAACGTCTCAAGAGGGATTTACTAAAATTAAAATTAACATTTTCTTTTTTACTGTGTAGAGAAAAAGCAAGACAAGACGGTGAAAAACTCGAGAAATGAGTCTTTTAATTCTGTTTTAACAAACAAATGCTGTCAAATGCGAACATTTGCCAACATCGATCATTTCGAATTCTTTCGTGTGTTAAATATAACATGTGAAGCCGATTTGTTAATAACAATGATGATAACAATTTTCTCAAACGTTTTGATTGTTTGTTTTGTCGAGTATTTATCGTTGCGATAAACGGAACGGTATTCCGGTGCGTGCAAGCACGTATTAATTGACAATGTGAGATTAAAAAGTTTTCTTATCTTCCGCATTGTTCTTACGACTTCAAAGTTGTTAATAACGATAATAGCGTACAATGGCTTCTATAAACAGCAACTGAATCGCAGCGAGAACGAAGAGAAGAAGAGCTCGGGGACGATGTTTCGACCCCGTCGTCATATAAGAGGGAGGAAAGTGCGGAGGATTGGCGCCCGTGAGAAGACTTGCAGCCGTCGACGCCATTATCCCTGCTGAGTCGCAGGGCGTCGCGACGCCGCAATATCGACGTACCGCCCACATCGCCTCCCTCTGTTTCCTGTTATCTCTCTCCTTCTCTCTTCTGTCTCTCTTAATAAGCACCTTTTAAAATGTTTTAGTTCAAAACTTCTCGGCGATTTCAGCCATCTTTGCCTCTTCTTCCTTTTCAGAAACTGTATCGCAATTATTCGTTACGTACGAACAAGAGAAAAAAAAGCGAAAATACAGATAGATAGATAGATAGATAGAGAGAGAGAGAGAGAGAGAGAGAGAGAGAGAGAGAGAGAGAAGTTTTTGATGACTGAAAAACTCAATGCATAATTTTGTGGTAAATTATGTAACAGCAAGTTTCGACGACAGTTTCTCCTTCACATAGAATAATACATACAACTTTTTATTTGTGTAAACTTAATTCATTACATTCGTTTCGATATTGATTTTCACACGAAAGAAAAAAATGTATTTTTTATTTACGTTGTACCTTTTTACAATATTTCAAGAGTCAGAAAAAAGGTGAATAGTAAGTACTTGCCATACAAAACTGTCGGAACTATATGTTTATTTGGCTTTGTTATTCACAATGCAGATATTTTTGTGTTTGCTGTACATACATCGTCTCACTCTCTTACGTCACCATGATTATGTATAAACCATAAGCTTACATCCTACTAATTCTTCTATTTACAAAGCATGTTTCAGAACTAGTGACTAGTAGAAATTTTTTTTTTGTCTTAGACACTAAATAACACGCGGGGAATGTAACAGAATGCACGTGTCTTAATCTTGTTCTCTTATTAATAATGTCTTACGAGTCAAGTCGATTGCGCTACATCGACGCTACACTGTCTATTCGAACGTCGTTCCGTTCTTAGACGTTCGCGGATCTTCCGGCGTCCAGACTTTCGCGTACATCGTGCCGTTCGGCGAGATGTCTGATTTTCTCGACCAGGAGAGAGAATGCGAGATGAACGGATTTCCGCCGCTGCCTGAAAGTTGCAATTCGACACCGGTTAGCAAAATATTGCATAACAGATACAGAAGTGTCAAACGTGAGTTTGAGAACTTTTATAACGAGCGTTCAAAGTTATTCGGGGAAAACATTCTTTATATGTGAAGAAACTCATTATCTGATTATATCTGATTATATCTGATTATATATAGTTACAAGTAATCATGAATAAGATTGAGATGATCTCATACATGTGATGGTATATAATTATACATAATTAGATATTGAATTTGTCTTATTTGAATATATGAAGAATTTTTTTCCTTCTAAATTAATTATTACTTAGTAAAATAGTAATAGTATTACTTAAAATAAACTTCAAAGTTATTATTACTTATTGTTAGTAAAATATATAGAAACAGAATTTTGTGCTTGATTGCAACCCAGACAGCATAGAAAGATAAAAAAATATCTTAAAGATATTTCTAAAGAACAATAAGACGTTTTTACGTCGTCTTTTAGCCGTCTTTTAAAGACGATTGACATGCTGTTTGGGAAACAAAGATAAACATTTGAACGATGTTTGTTGTACTTCTAGTTTTAGTTACAAAGTCTAAAACTATACATATACAATAGTTATGTTGTAAATCGTAAAAAAGCAAAACATAAATAATGAATATATACATAATTTTTGCGATGCTTGATGTATTTTTATAATCTCCCAGTTTTTCTCACAATAATTCCCCTCCCCTCGGAAACCGATCCCGTATCTATCAGGGACACCTGTCTTGAATTAGAACAAGAGTAGATGAATAATTATGATAAACAGATCTATGATTCCACACGATCTATCTGATGCTAATTCATATCAAAACATATTATCAACATAATGTTGATTTATAGTGTCAAAATACGTTGCACATTACATTAGAAAAGTTCAATTATGAATAGTTACGTATAACACACTTTATTATAATAGCAAAATAAAGCTTAAAATATAAAATACGGAAAATTCTCGATATTCAATCTTTTTTATTTTTTACTTTGCAATATTTTAATATTCCACTCTTGCAAAATAATATTTTTGCAATAATATTTTTTGCACTGTTCCAACGATATTTTGTGCTATAGGGTCAATGATATTGAATTCTTTGTCGTTTAACAATATACTGTGTGTTTGAGTGATCGAGTATTTTCATCTACAAATCGAGAATTGTCCGTATCGAGAGATTAAAATTGGCCTCACCACGGACTATAATTTTCTTGGAGTCGTCCCGATTGGCGCATCTCGAGAGTCCGCTGTTGCCCGTCAGAGAATCGTTACCCTTGTCCGCCCGTACGAGCTCGTTGAGGAAGTTAATGTATCCGATCGCCAGTTTCAGCGTGTCGACCTTCGACAGTCTCTTCTCGTACGGCAGAGTCGGTATGTGCGCTCTCAGACCCTCGAAGGCGTCGTTTATGTTCTGCATTCGCCTGCGCTCCCGCATATTCGCTGCTTGCCGTTGCTGGACCTGCACCTGTCTCGGACATTTTCCCGACACGCCGCTGCGCCGATTACTTCGACTTCGTCTGTAAATAAATTTCACGAGTGTCTACATCTTCCTGGATGTTTTTACTTGGAGTTTTTATAATAATATAAATCATATAATTTTTATTTTAATGAAAAAGAACGAGAAATGTCGAAGTTGTCAAAACATTTAAATTAGTTTCATAGCTAATTTAGAGATTTCAGAGAATATATATAAATTATTTTTTTATATTATTAATTATATTTTATTTTGCCGAGAAACATTCAAGAACTATAGGTTATAGAATAAGCAGAAACTCGCAAAAAGGAGAATCGGAAAGAGATACTCACTCTCTCGCGTGATTCTCCTGATCGCTGCTGTAAACGCTCTCGTTGTCGCTGCTGTTCTCGTCGTAGGGGTAGTGCTCGCTACCGCTGGTGCTACCGGTGCTACCGGACGGATGATGCGACGACGGCAGCTGCGACGGGATCACCGCCGGCAGCGTCGCCGTCGTTGGAACGCCGCAATGCGGCGGAAGTGCCGGAATCGCCGGATTCCCCAGGAAGCTGTGCGCCTCGTACATGTACTGCCGATTCATCATATTCCGCTCTAGGTTGTCCATGGAATACATAGTGAAATATCGCTGTCGTTCGCCACAAGAGTCAGCTTAAAGTATCTCAGTTTATCCTTATATGTATATTTAGCTCTTACGAGTATGATATTGATTGCAATGCAACTCTTGATTTAACGTAAATTCAGTGTCGCTAAATCTCCGGATTCACATCTCTCATTATTATTATTATTTTAAATACTTAGAAGATATGACTAGACCGTTTGACTAGACGTAGTTACAAAGAGACTCTTGCGTCTCTCACGTCATTCGATTGTCCGCGTCAGACTCGCGCGTGATAATTGTTTTTAGCGAAACCTCAAAGTTTCAATCTCTCTTCGTGTGCAAACACCTTCGTCACAGGTCGCAATATTTCAAATCGCATCTACGCACCACTCGGTCACGTCTCGGGGAATTAAAAGATACGATCGGCACACGTGTCATACATATAGACGCGTGCAGGATAATATTTCTAAATAGCGGCACGTGTCCTGACGTATCACCACCTCGGGCACGTGTCGAGATTTGTCGAGACACTTGTTAACTCGGTGTTCACGCGCCCGAAATGCCTTGGCCCGCGTCCAGCGACGCTAACTTACGATGTCAAGATAAGGATAGATGTGAATCTCGCACCGATGACAGAAGGTCGATGACATATTCTCTCTACTTGCGGTAAATCTTAAAAAGAAATATTCCTTTTTATCTTCTTTGTTGTTTATATTTGTACTCTCGATATATTTTTAAAATTCATGTCTTCTCTCGCATTTTTGTCTCCAGTCGCAATGACAGCGGTTGTTAAACGCGTCGACTATATCGTAATTTCGAAACTCTTCACATTGCTCTCTTATTCCCGTAATTATAACTTGTTCATTCAATCGCTGTGGATCAGTTTAGATTTATCGGTGCATGAGTGTTTAGTTTTTTTCTATTTCAGCGTGATGCGTTGCGGGAAGATATTTTCACATGACATTTTTGAGAAACATTTTTACACCGTAAAAACACAGTCGCAAGATCACACTCTCTTTAATTTTTTGTAGAATAATATTTCTTAACTTTAGATTGCACTTTACAATTGTGTCAACATTTTTATCCCCTATTTTTGAAGTTACGCACAGTTCAATTTGTCGCACAACTATTTGTATTTCCGCAGTTTCTTCAAACGAGACATCACAAAAAATTTCAAAAACCCGTTTTGAATATTCTTGAGGTTTTCCAATTGCGCTACAATTCAAATGTCTTTTTGCGATCTTTTCTCATTGCGGAAATATTCCCAAACCGTCACATTATTCACAAATCTCACCGAATCTTTCTGAATAATTTTTAGAACGTTCTTTAAACTTGCTAAATCCGCACTTAAGGAAAATCAGGATCTTCTTTTCGCGTCAACAGACACCGTGCCCCGATCGTCCGGATGGTCTTTCGCTCAACTAAAATCGAAAAGCGGCGAACGGACAAGGCGGAAGCCATGTCGGGGTTGAAAGCCCAGCCATGACCCTATTCGTCGAGCGCTCGATCGGCAGAGCCTGCCTACCTCTTGGTTGCTGGGGTAGCGGTGCCGCCTCTTCATCGATCTGATAAGGAACCAACGCGCCGCGTTGTTCTCGTTTCTAGATATCGTCCTGGAACGCCGTCAGGAAAATTGTAACTCGCAACCAATCGCGTTTTTCACGAAAAAACGACGAGAAATGCACGGAGAAAACGCAACTCTAAAAACAAACAGGAAAATTGATAATTTCGTAATGCTAAAATATCGAGCGATTTTACTAATAAATAAAATTGAGGTTTAATTGACTTTTCTAATGATGAAATCAACGATGTTGCGTTTCAAATTGTATTTTGTTGCTGACAAGTAGAATTTTTATTTGGAAATGTATCTAATATATAAAAGATGTCAAAAAATGTAGTTTAACTAGAAAAATAGCTCTATAAAAATATAGAGAAAGTGTAGGAAGTATATAACTGTAAATATATGTGTTTCATTTGATGATATTTCGGTGTCTCAATTTTTTTCTTCTTAGTATAAAATTTAAGAATAAAATAGGAAAAATAAATCTCAAAAATAAAATTGATTTCTTATTCCTCAATTAATGTAATAGTGAACTTAACCAATGCGTCTAATACTATCAATTTTCTAATCGTGTCGTTCCTAATAATGACAACCAAATGACCATATTATTGTCATTTCTGTCAAGCTACGTTTCTCTTTTTTGGGTCTAATATTTTTTTCTAATCTACTTAGTAATAACAAACGTAATTAAGAAAAAAGCGTGTTTCTCAAACTTTAAATTAATATTTTGGTTTTAATTTTATTTATTCACTTAAATATAACAATAATCATATTTGAAATTATATAATTATATTAAAAATTATATTAAAAATTTTATTGAAATTTCTAATAAAATTCTAATAACGTAACATGTAGTTTTCATATTTAAAAACTCGTTCAAATTTTGATTAATAAGGACACAACAGTAATAAGATTGACACTATCAGTAATTAGATTTTTTACCCTATTTACTAGTCGATATTGACATTGATTGTGCCAATCTTTCTCATTCCTTTGCAACGAACTTCCATTTCTTTTTACAATAAGCTTTTTTTTCTTTACATAGCTTATAGTACATTTTCAACTGTTCTTTTTTTCTTGCAACAAAAAGCACATCGTCCGGAATTCACGAGTAAACCGTCATAATGGAAAAGAAATCGGCCGCACGTGGCTTACGTACGTGACACGTGCGACCGCAACGTCGCGCAAAGGGTTGCGTTCCGCTAACTGCTTTGGCGACATTTGGCCCTGTTGCGCGATCCTGTAATTATAGGTACGTGCCCCGTAACAGGTACGATCTGATTTCTCCGCCGCGCGTTGCAAGATAATAACATTTAATAACGCACAGCGTGAATATTTTTGGCAGCAATCACATATGTGTTTGTAATACACATGTCACCTTGACAATGTTACAATTTTATGAAAAAAAACACGAATCACACGTGCGCATTTCTTGTTTTTAGTTTATTGTCTGCGCAATAAACTAAACCCTGTTACGAACGTTCGCACATTCTCGGGTGATTTTGAGCCTCATTCGTTACGTTTTGATAATTAGCCGTCCAGAAATAGTGAGGTGAGAGGGTGCGTCGAATCCGGATGAATTATAGTTCCATCTGCGACGGTTCTTTCCTCGAGGAGTAATCGACAGAACGGCATTTCCCACGATTGTAATTACAATTCCTGTGTTTTAGGGAATTCCGTTTTGTACGCATTAACTTTCTGCGTGCGTGTATCGTTAATTGTTAATTAAAATAAAACTGAAGCGCTTTATATTGAAAAAAATCGTGTGCATTTGCTACACATTCAATTTAATAAGAATATATAGATCCTTCTTTTGTTAACTCCGCGGTTTTTTTTATAGAACGGTACTGGCTGCTATATACTTTCCTCGGTATAATCCGCAACGAAAATACCACGTCGGGACAAGTCTATTGTGCCAGAGAATTTTTGATCCTCGAGATCGAGAGATAACTAAAGGGGATCGGATTTAAATAGCTAAATCCGATGGCCAGAGGCCACGTGTACGCGCTTAAAATGCTGTTTCGCCGATGACGAGACGATTCGCGCAATCTCGCTCGGCACAATCGAGCAAATTTATTTATTTAGAAATAAAACTACTTTATTTAAAATAATAAATGTTAAACGAATACATAATAGTTCTGATGGATTTTGTGGAAGAAAAATTGACCGAGTAATTTTATTAAAAATAATTTATTTATTTTATCAAGTAATCCCCGTTGTTTTTTATTATATTTTGCTGTTGTACTTGATAAAACAAATAAATCGTTTTTAATAAAATTACTTGATCTATTTTTCTATCGCAAAATCCATCGAAACTGTTGGACTCATTTATAAAATATTTTATCATAAATTACTATAAATTTTTCTTATATATAACTGCAACAAGTATATTAATTAATAAAAAAATTAAAATATTTGTCTTGCAGTATGAAAATCGATTATGGTATAAAAATACACAAAACTGATAAATGACGAAATGAAATTTTCGTGGTTTTTATAAGGTTCATTTAGGATACAAAAGGATTTTCAGAGAGAGAGTGAGATCATAAAAACCTCGTCATGAATAAAGCAATTATCCACGGTGCATCCCGGCGGAGAAAAAAGAAACCATAGCTAGCACCTGGTACGCGGGACACGGCAGAACATCCCGGTACCTACCTACCGAAACGCACCCCTAAGTGTTTATTAATTTATATTCGGTGGAGAGTGTGAAATCGATTTATGTTCATAGATGCGCTCAGGTCCACGATGAGACGCACTTATTCTGGAGAATAATAAGTTTTTGTACGTCTGTTAATGCAATAAGGTTGTGTACGTCTTATTTTTACGAGAAAAATTATAATATTGTTTTTAGATATATTTTTAGTAAATCATTATTGGGAATATTATGTAACTTAATTATTTATTATAGAATTATACAAATTATTTATTTATATACAAAAGCCATTAAAGCTCATGCTTGTAAAAAGTCCCTAATTTATATTTTTAGAACCTCCTACAAAATAGTGAGATAAAAATAAAAAATGTTTTTGCTGTTGCATTAACAATATCACACAGTGAATTGTGCATATTTGTCATACTGAATACGTCAAAATAATATGTCAAAATAAATTCCCGTATGCTTACTGAGCATGAATCGTGAAAAAATAGCAACGATCGAGACTGCAAAAGTTCTCACTGCGCTTCCCTTCACTGGCGCAATGACGAGTCGTAATAACAAATCGATTGTGCAGATGCTGAAGACACATTCGCCACTCGCGGGGAGGGTTGATAGCTTGGAAAACTGGGGAAGGCGGCGGTGCATTGGAGCGTGCGATGTTCGGGGGTCTCTCTCGTTCCCCTTTGGCGCGGGGGTCGCGTGTAAGGACACCGCAGGGGGTAACATCCAACACCGGATACCGGAAATGGTTAGGCGGCACCGGATACACAGGGAGGCGCATTATTAGACAGGTGGCTGGCACTCTTGCGCGATAAAAAAACTTCGTGACTGGGACAAGTTCGGCTTCTTGTGTGTGTGTGCGTGCGATGGGTGACAGTGTGCGTGTTTGTGTCTCTCAATCTCAAAATAACAGTTTATTTATCTTAATAATAATTAGCTGTTATATTTTGTGCAAATACGCATGAGACAGATATAAAACGTTTTGTTCGTAATATCAGTCGAGATCACTGTCCAGAGATAATTGTATCGTTAAACATTAGGGGAGGTCTCTGATAATTGCTCGTTAAACGTCATTCTGAGATTATGCGTCGAGTAACGAGCGCGTACATTTTACTTTCGCGATAAAAGTCTTTGCGATAAGCGTCCAATTTTTGCTACCAACAACATTTCCATTCGTTTTCCCGGGGAAATCGTATGACATATGTTGTAATATCTCGGATCAATAAAATGCATCGTACACAGCGAGATAATCGCTAACCAGTGTCGTGCTCTACAATGACAACCGTATTTGACCTTCGTGTGGAATTTATGTTTGTTCATGTTCAAATGAAAAGACGAAACGTATATCTTTATATGTAAGTTTATACAATAACCCTAATTTTGAAAACAAATTTTACTCTCGAGATAAATCGATGAAAACATTTCGATTTGTCGCAAAAAAAAGTTTGTTAACTCCGTTTATTATCACTATCGCAACGACGCGTGCAAACAGAAAAAAAAAAAAAAAAAAAACATTGCTAGCGGCTTCTTTGTGTTCGAAAAAGTAATAAGTCGTATTGGGTGTTAGTAGATGTTAACGTTCAATTATGTTTACTTTCTCACAAAAAAAAGACCTGGGGAACGTCTCCGTTTATTAAAAGAAAAATCACCACCGCACGGTATGTGGGAATTGAAAAAAATACTGGCGTCCTCCTCAGGTTCTTATTCCGAGAGCGTTTGAATCTGGCGCGCCGTGCAATCGATACCTCGCACGGCCGACACCTCGCACGAGAATCGATTACTGCAATCGACTGCTATCTCGCGCTTACTGTCTCGCTGATGCCGTGGAACTCGTGGGGAGGAGTATTTTTGCTGAGCTGGACTGTTGTTTACATCCGGAGCAATCCACGAATTGTGCTCCGTCCCCGTCGTATCCTCGCTCACCTTCCTCTCTCCCTCCTTGCTCGCTGTCTCTCATTTCTTCTTTCTGCCTCGGTCGGCGGAAATCTCCGACACTTTCCTATTGGGACTTGGACCTGTTGGGACGTGTCGCACAGTTCGTGTTCAAAATCGCTGCGTTGGCGGTGGTCATAAAAATTCTCAGATATGAAAGTGACAGTAACGACGCTCAGCGACGACAGCGTCTTCGTCCTGGATGTGAGCGAGGAGTTGGAGCTCGAGAACTTCAAGGCATTCTGTGAGATCGAGAGCGGTGTGCCGGCTCACGAGATCGTCATTGCGTTCAACGGCTTGCCTCTCATGGATGACAAAAAGTCGTTACGCGACCATGGTATCCGTGACGGCGATGCCGTCATTCTTCAGCACATGCATCAAAGCGGCAGCGATCTCAACCTGCAGCCCTTCAATAGAGGTGGGAACAGAGTTTCTGAACAATTACTTTTGATTTGCATTATGTCTAGATCATTAAAGGGATGCATAGAAGACACATGTGTTATTCTACATTTATTCTTTGTTTTTATATGTTTTATTGCGTTATATATTTTTTTTTCTAGAAAGTACTTTACACTTGCTTATCTCTGATTCTGTCAATAAAGATTGTAGAATGATGAAACAGATAAGCTTTTATGTTGAACCGTTAGCCTTTGCTTTCTCCTGCTTCGACTAATTTATACAAGAGTAAAAGTGATCACTTAGAACACATTCTTTTTTTTCAAAATGTAGTATGTATAATTGTACAGTTGCTTCTACAGTTAAATTTTTTTTTTCTATTTCAACATAGTCTTCATATCGTGTATTATTCTGTATGATGCTATCTTGCAGCATGCAGTATCTTGCAAAAATGAACGTACTAAATTTCAAGAAACATCGCTCTAGCCATTCCATTACTGGACTTCAGTTCCATCAGAGTTCCTGGGACTACTATTAACAATCAGCGCCAGCCAGCCATTGCCAACAATAGAGTGCAAGATCTTCAGAGTGCAGATGACCCAGCTATGATAAGAAACATGTTCCTGGCTAATCCTGATCAATTGGCATTGCTCAAGCAAAATAATCCCAGACTAGCTGATGCCTTACTGTCGGGAAATCTCGGTGAGCAACAGTTCTAAGAAAAACATAATGTAGTGTAGTTTAGTCACTTCTGATCTCTAAATGTTTTTAAATGTTTATAGATAGATTTTCAACTGTGCTTAGAGAACAGATAGCAGCTCGAGAGGAACGACATGCTCAGAGATTGAGAATGATGAACGCGGATCCGTTTGATACGGAGGCACAACGGTTAATCGCCGAAGAGATCAGGCAAAAGAACATCGAGGCCAACATGGAAGCAGCGATGGAGTATAACCCCGAGACTTTTGGTACTGTTGTCATGTTGTACATCAATTGCAAAGTCAACGGATTCCCGGTTAAGGCATTTATTGACTCAGGTAAATTGCCAACCGTTTACATGAATTGCAAACGTGAATTCGGTTACAGTACGAAATAACAATGAGTCAGATCCGATTTCGTCGCGCGAAGAAAAATATGTTATTATTGGATATTTCTCGAGATTATTTTTAAATTCTTGTGTACTGCACACATGAGTAGGTGTCTGCATCAAAAATGACTTTCTATTTTTAAATCCACACATGTGGAAAAATCATCTTGGTGTTTGCAGAAAAATAGTTTAATTTTAGAAACATGATTTCTCCATTCTCAAGAACAATGGAAGAAAGGAGATTTTGCATTTTATGTAAATATTTGGGGATTTTGATTTATTTTTAAAAATATATGACAAAAGCATGACAGAGAAAACCTTTTATGAGATTTATCGTATGCGTGATCGAGAGTTAATGTTTGTTTTATTGTGATATATAAGGTGCACAAACTACGATTATGTCCGCTGCCTGTGCCGAGAGATGTCACATTATGCGATTAGTGGACACAAGATGGGCAGGAGTTGCCAAAGGTGTTGGGGTTCAACGCATAATCGGTCGCATACATATGGTACAAATACAGATTGGCAATGATCATCTAACAACGTCATTCAGCGTCCTCGAGGAACAGCCTATGGACATGCTATTAGGCCTGGATATGCTGAAGAGACATCAGTGTTGCATAGACTTGAAGAAGAATGTCTTGAAAATTGGGACCACAGGCACTGAAACTTCATTCTTAGCAGAAGGTCCGTTTTTCTTTCTTTCTTCAAGTTATTGATATTAATTATAGTATTAAGAAATCGAGAATTGGAAAATATTGTTATTTTTGCAGGCGATTTACCAGAATGCGCGAGATTAAGCGGCAACATTGACGAATCCTTCGACGACAGAGATCTTCAGCGAGCTCTCGAAGACAGTTCGAGAGACGTTAAGAAACAGAGACAACACGGTGAGTGTGTGTCGGTGTGTTTTCTATTTTAAAAACACTGTTAAAGGAAGAAACATTTTAATCTACAATATAGCATCTTTAATTCTTTAAAAATGTAATCTCAACGATCAATATTTTGTTTAGATGGACAAAGCACCAGTAGTCAAAGCAGACCTGTCACTTTAGAGACGACGATCTATCCGCACGATCCGTTCACAGAAGCCACGGTCAAGGAACTCGAGGCTCTGGGTTTCACAAGAGCGCAGGTGATCGCGGAGTTGCGCCGATTTAACGGCGATAAAACACAAGCCATCGCCGCGTTGTTCGCGAAATCATTGAAATTCTAAACATACCGATATCGAAAATCACACGCGTGAATTGAGTACGCGATATTCTCAGTGGAGAAAGATATAGCGAAATTGTGAATATGTATGGTACGCAATAAACACAGAAATGACTTACAATCTATGAAACAACTTGTAAGTATCGTTGTAGTTGGTAGCTGTTTGATATACTTCCGTTTTACGATGACATAACTTTTATAGCTCAACAACGAGTCGCGAAAAACGTTACAGTGGTATATGAACGTGTACGGGTTATTTTTCGGCAAAAAATAAAATAACGTTAACTCACTTTCTTTTGTATTTTTTCTTACTTTATGGTGATCTAATTACGTAATGAATTGGATATATATTACTGTAAAGTAAGATAAAAATACAAATTGTTAAGATGATAAGCTGTTGTATGTAATCTTGCAGATTTTTTGTTACACATGTGTGTATGCGCGCACGTGTGCGCGATGCCTAAGTAAACCGCATATTTGTAACACATTAATTATATCAAGTATTCGAGTAAGAGTTTAGAAATGCGTCTAATTTTTACGATCTGATATTTAAAGATGCAATATACATAGTTTTTTTGTGCGAACAAACCATTGAATATTAAGATTTAGTTCTCGAATGTTATGTAAAAGAAATATACATAGAACTTGTGCATACGCAATAACAACCGCTGAATAGATATGAGAAAAGGTTTTCTACGCGCCGTGAAAGATACATGTATGTATTTCACGGTACTCTGTAATATTCCGTTTATATATAAGTGGTGAAGAGAAGATAGACAATTATAAATATATATATATTATATA